TTCTGTTTTTCACGTTTTTAGGACATTACAGACCAGGGACAGCTCCTTTAAGTGTTTTCAGTCGCTCTGTGCTGTAAAAATTGCAAACCTAAATGAATCTTTGTTATATGATTGTGTATGTCTTATTAACTTCTCAACTTTTTACTGAGATTGACTTCACAAAGTTCTTCACATAGAGGATAATCTATTAGACAATGTGATTGAATCGTGCCAATAATCATTAATAGTTTTTTCTTAATTAATGAAATCATAATATGAAATGGCACCTTTGCTCACTGTGAGGAAGCTGCTTTAAAATCCACTCAGAGCATTTTTATTTGACACCAGGAGTTTGTGGAGGATGAACTTGAAATTGGTCGAAAATCCAGTGGTAATGAACTGTGATGGTCCGTCGAGAGGGCCAGCGCTGAGGATTTAGCGGGAGAATGGGGGGTCTTACCTGATACATGTGAGATTTAATTAGATGACAGGGATTGTGGAGCGGCCGGGAATTTCACAGGGGCTTAGTTTGGAAAAAGAAGGGAGAGAAAAGAGAGAGAAAAATAGAAGAGTGAAGAGAGGAGGAGGTCATGTGTGTGCGTGTTAGCAGGTATTAATCACATTGTACGGACTGAAATCTGTACATACTCACCATGTGAGAACCAAAAATCAGACCAAATAAAGTTTTAGATCAATGTCATGGGTTAAAGTTAAGAGTTTGGTTAATTCAGGTTAAAGGTGCACTATGCAACTTTTCTGGTGGAGAGACTTTCACCTGTACCCATGGAAATGAGATTTCTTTGCCTGGTATGTTCCTCCACATAATTATATTAAACTTATGCATCTACCATATTTTTCAGTCTATAAGTCGCTCTGGAGCATAAGCCCAAAAATGTGTAATGAAGGAAAAAAAACTTATATAAGTCACACCAAACTATAAGTCTTTTTATTTTATAATATTAGAGGCCAGGAACCGACATTTCATCTTGAAAGGCAAGTTGTAGTAATAACAATAGAACAGAGAACAACAGGCTGTTAACATCACATATGAACAGTTCTTCAGATAACTATAACATAAACAACAGAACAGAACAAGTTTACCAAACTCTCCATCTCACTCCAAATCACTAAATCCATTCAATTCTTCATTCTCGGTGTCACTTCTGAGCAACTCCATGACCCCCAAAGGTAAACGGAGCGCTGCTTCATCTTCTGTGTAGCTGCCGTCAGATTCACCATCAGTTCCAGTTAGATTTATTTCAGCCTTTCTGAATCCCGACAGGATGGTTTTGATTTCCATTGAAGTCCATACTTTGTCGATCCATTCAATGACTTCCAGGAAAGTTACTCTTGAAAGTGGGCAGGTTGTGTTGTCCATCCATTCCACCAGTCCCTCACAAGTTTCTCGCTCACTCCAAACTTTCTTTCTGCTGCTGTTGGCTGCATATTTTGCTACTTGCAGCAGGACACATGCAGGAGACATGCACAGTAGAGCCAAGTGACAGTGGTACAGGAGTAATAGGAGTAGGTGATACTGCCTAGAGCGCCCTCTCGGGGCTGTCAGTGTGAACATTTGAATATGTTAATCGCACCGGAGTATAAGTCTCAGGACCACCAAAACCATGGAAAAAAGTGCTACTTATGGTCAGAAAAATACAGTAATTTCTTTTCTTTCCTTTTTTTTCCAATTACTTTTAATGTTTAACATTTATGCTCAGAATACCTTGAAAAACCTGCATTCTTTATGTGAGTTGGGTCGCCTCTTTACAGATGTGACCTGCACCTGCTTGTCTCCATAGAGAGTTTAATGCCATACTATGGAGCGTTTCACACAATAACAAACAGCTGGCCAAATCTCCACCAAAAAGTGATATAGTGCAGCTTTAAGATTATTAGACAAGTAGTAATTATGGTTAAGGTTAGGATCAGTCTCCAAGAAGTCAGTGCAGTGTCCCCTAATAAACATACAAACCTAACATGTGTGTGGTTGGGGGAGGCGGGGGGCGGGGGGCAGTCGCTGGTTGAGTCCCCTTCTCCTCTTCCTAGACTAAATTGTTTAAATTCTATAGCCCTCACTTCATTTGTTTGCCTGTGCTACTCGGAGGAGAGAGAGAGAGGCCCCGGTCCCTGCACATTCCTGGCTGCTTTGTTTTCTCTGTGTTTGCATATACCTCAAGAGAGAGTACCCAAGTCGCCCCTTTACCCCACCCTCTCAAACTTCTTTTTTTTTTCTTTCCTCCATTGCCTTTGAATTAACCAGCTCCAGCTAATTATATGCTCCCCCCTTTTTTTTTCTTTGTGTGGCTTCTTTAAAGGCGCTGTACCTGATTTTACGGTCTTAAAAACATGAAAAATAGAGCCAGTTCCTTTTCAACAGGTTGAAATGGTCCAAAGTCGTTGCTCACTTACCTTATGCATTCTGAGCATCATAGTTTAATCACTGTGATGAGTTTTATACAACTTTCAGAAGCCAGAGCAGAGTCTTGCTTTTTTCTAGATGCAGACATTGTACAGTTGACTTTATTTTGACCTCAAGATCTGCTTATACAATATTTTTGTGCTGGGGAAAGACACATTTTGTTCAAATACAGGGAAAAAAGTTAAATACAGGCCCTTTAAGATTAACGATAATGGACCCTACCACATTCAGCATATTTAAAACCTATCTGACACAATGATTTAAGAGAAACCAGATCTGTAATCACTAATGTTATGCTTCTATGTAAATGTCATGGTTGTATGTGATGATTGCGTCTTATTGTGCTGTTTCTACCATGTTTGTCCTGTCCAGTTTGTCTGTTGTGTGAAGTTGTCCTATGTTGTCTCTGTCTCTCTGACCTACCAGGGACTACAGATGAAAAGTAGCTTTCGGGCAAATTCTGGCGTATATATGTTCATGAATATACATTGTCCCTTTTAAATAACTAAAAAAAAAACATGATTTGAAATAGAATTGCACAATGCCCCATTTTATGTGAATCTAATGATCAATGTTGGGAAGTAACTAAATACACCACTGTACCAAAAGTATCTATTCATTGTACTAATTTTGAGTAGCTGTATTCTGGTACAGTTACTCTTTAATTTCATGGTATTCAAAATATAGTATACATTTTGTTTTGATTGCACAATTTAGGCTTCAGACTGCAAAGTATAACAGTAGTAAATGCGATATTTCCTTCTCTAATTGGTGGTAAGTAAATGAAGAACGATGTAAACAATCATAACGTAATGCAGCTCAACACGTATTCTAGTACTCAGAATACAGTACTCTGCGAAACAAAACACACGAAAATACACTTTAATGCAGGTATTCAGTAGTCTGTAACTTGCATTCTTTCCAGGACTGTCTAAATGTGTATACAATTGTCAGGAATGTAGTTTAGTTTAAAATAATTTCACATATTTTTGCAGTGAGGTTGTGTGCACTGAGAACAATGCCTATGTAATCACAGGGTTTTCACTCACTATAGGTAATTTAGACCCACCCAACCATACTCGTGCTATTGTGCTTTCTGAAACGCTTCACGCCTGTGTGTCCGTATACTGGTCCATATACTCCGCTTGTTATCTCAGATGGTAATGATCGGTAATGATTCTTTCTTTTTCGTGTCTCAAAAGTTGTGGTTGAAGCAGGTATTTCTTTGTCTCCTAACCGTGCTTTGTTTTGTAAACATTTACGATATGTCATTAAAGGTTTTCACGCATCGCAGTACCAAGTTAAATGCCAGGCCAGCCCAAACCACACGCTTTGACAGTACTTTACAAAGACATGTGGGTCTGAAACAATATTATGTCTCCCTGACTGTATATAGGTTGATTGACAGGCGGATTAACCAATCACAGACACGCATGTTCTGTTCAGGTCAAAACAAACAGCAGCTTAAAAGGCCCATATTACACTATTTTCTGACGTATGCTATAATGTTTTCTAATCACAGACATACCCGGAGTTGTGTTTTGTTTCATTCGCATATCTTCTCTCAAACAGAAAACACTCAGTTCCACCTTGTGATGTCATACAGGAAGTATACACGTTCACTAAAATCATTTGGATTATTTCAGACGTGGAATTTCTACTAAACAAAAGGTAAAAGGCTTGAAAACTACCATTTTATAACATCACAAGGGGGAACAGAGCATTTTGAGCTTGGGAGGCATAGACAGACTAATAATAAAGGCCTCAAACATGTGTGAATTAAACAAAACACAAGTCCAGGTCTGTTTTTGATGCAGTAACAACTAGGGATGTAATGATATCCAATTCTCTCAATACGATATTTTCACGATATGCATCTCATGGTACGATATTTATTGCGATATTTTATGTAGGCTAACAAAATTATGATTATGCTACTTTTCTCTCATCATAATCCAAATAATTAAGATTTAAAAGTGCTTAATAACCATTATTTCAGCACGTAGAGTGGACTGAAACAGTGCAAAGAATCATGGTCTATGTAGTTCCCTCTGTTTTTTTAGCTATTGCTGCACCATAATAATGAATTTAAGCAAAGAAAGTTGCGATTCGATATATTGTGATGGTCCACAATATTATTGTGAGACTTTTGATGATACGATATCAGGAAAATTCGGTTATTGTTACATGCCTAGAAATAACATTCTAGCATGACTTAAAGCTCACAAGAGTCAATTTTGTGTAATGTAGGATCTTTAAAATAAAACTGAATTAACACAAAGGACTCTTCTGCAAAATCAGTAAGCAAAGCACTAAATTCCCATGTATCTGAGGTAAAAGAAGTTATAGATTTGGTTCTGAAAGATTAAAGCAAATATTCAAACAACAAGATTTTACAACAGAGGCAGTGTCATATATTTACTTATCTGACCAAAATGTTCCTAAAAAGCTACGCAAGTCCAGTCCCTAGTTCCTCCTAAATGTGAAAGCTGGTACTTAAAAAAAAAAAAAAAGACTAGGAATTACAAAACTCCTCTTGTCTGAGCTTGATAAATCTGATGTTTAAACTTGGTGACTAAATGTAAACTCTTTGTCTTTGCAGGTATTTCTTTGCTGTGCTGGCCATCCTCACAGTCCTGGGCGTGCTCAATGGCTTGGTGCTTCTGCCGGTGCTACTGTCATACTTTGGGCCATATCCAGAGGTAAGTTGTGTATGCCTCTCCACCAATCTGACCTGGAACTTGGCTTTGTAGTGTCTGTAATGCCACACTGAGGAACATTCCAGGCAAACAATCACATCAACATGGAGATAAGCAGTAAAAAAATTACATAGTGGACCTTTGAATCATATTTTTTGTAAACAGTTATAGTTAATAGTTAGTTAAATAATATCATCCTCTTCTTATTTCTCTCTGTCAGGTGTCTCCGGTGGATGGACGCAGTCGCCTGCCCACTCCAGAGGCCCCTCCCCCTGTGGTGCGTTTCTCCGTGCGCCCTCAGCCCCACATCACCGGGGGCAGCATACACGCGTCAGGGGCTACGTCAGACTCCTCGGACTCAGAGTACAGCTCCGCCAGCTCAGCATCTGCGACCAGCCAGGGGCCCCCATCACACGGAATACACATGGACAACAGGAGGGGCCCCAGGAGCAGGCACAGGCAGCAGGACCCTCCAGCTTATACTATATCCTCAGTAAGTACAAAGATTTAAGTATGTGTCTATTAATAAATATAAAAGTTAATACTATTAAATATGCACCATATAGACTGGACAATTCTGAGCTATCAATATAACACCAATATTGCCAGGTCAGAGCTGACACTGAACCTTTAAGCTATTTGTGATTTTTACTGAAGTTGAAAGTCAATAGATATGTTCTACAGTATAATCACTTTTCTGTTCAGTTCTGATCAGAGATGATTTCCAAGTTTTGAGAAACTGTAATTCATCCTGGTTGTTTTCCTCCACAGAGTGTCTCTCCTCAGGGCTGTGATTCAGGGCCTCACTCTGGGGCCCCTCAGTGGAACAGGGACGACAGAGACTCTAAGAGCCACAGACATGCTCCGCCCTCAGCCTCGCCCTCAGCTCCGCCCCCAGCCCGCCCGCGCATGGACGCTTTTGAAACTGCTACTGAGGCTGGGGGCCATAGAGAACACTTATCGGGCCCCAGAGCCCTCTCCTCACATCACCTCCAGCCCATCACCACGGTAACAGCCTCAGCCTCTGTTACCGTGGCTGTCCACCCTGCCCCTCTCACCACCTCCTCTTACCCATCATACACTGCGACGGACAGTTACAGCTCAGCCAGCTCCCGGGCGCCCGAGAGCACCTTCCATGACCCTCATGTTCCAACGGACCCTCTGTCCAGGGTGCGAGGGTCCCGGGGGGCTCGAGGAGCCAGAGGGGCCAGAGGACCCAGAGGGGCCAGGGTGGCCCGGGCTGAGGCCATGGAGCTGCAGGACCTGGAGGCAGGGGACCACAGGAGCAGACCAGTCAGCTGAGGTGAGGCCTGTTTACTTTTCCAATGTCAGACCTGACTGACAGAAAACCAGCTCTAGTTGAATTTAAGATGAGGTTCAGTTTCAGATGAGCACTCATGAGGTGTGCTGTGTTTTGTGTTTCAGTTGTGCTGATGGACGTCAGAACGGCCAAAGATGGGTGTTACTCAGCAGTGAGCCTTCAGAGGAAGCTGCCAGTGTTGCCGTCATGGTGCTCATTCTTACTGTAACACAGTGGACTATTGTCATAGATATTTCTATCTATATTTAAAGTGTACACTTATGTAAATATGAAAAGAAGAAAGTAGCTATAATTTAGGAGCTGTACAACTCCTCATAAAGACTGGGGCTGCCATTTTATATAATGTGCGTGTGTGTGCGTGTGTATGTGTGCATGTGTGTGCATATGTGTGCGTGTGAGAGAAAGGTTACTGTTCTTCACTGTGGATCTGTGCCATTTAAATCTTCATTCAGACAGAACCTGAGCATCACTGCTGCTCAGACATGATAAAAAAAATACTATAAAAGTCTATGCAAATATCTCTTCTAAACCCCTGCCCACAGTGTGAGTGACTGACTCCATCAGACCCCCTCACACATGGGGGTCCACTGGTCACAGGGCGATACATGGATGCCTGTTTACATGTGAATGAATGATTGTTTTGTATAAAGGTACGCATGGTTAAATATGAATTTATCACAAACCTGTGGTAGTTATAAATCAATACTGTTAACTTGACACGCTATGCGTGCTATTTAAGACGAGAAAATATGAAGACATTTTGGGCTTTTCATTTTGATTCTTTTAGTTGCTTCTGCATTGAACCTGTTTCTCCTCAGCTCAGTATCACTGATGTTTTTAGTCATGTACAGTTTAACCTTAGCAGGTCCACCTCACAAATGTTTTTACAGGGATTCTCTACAGGGTCCACATGGGGCCCTCACTGCGCCCCCTGATGGCTGTGTCTAGTATAAGCTAAATTCTGACCATATACTGTACATTCAGTTCAATAAGGCACTTGACTGCATCAAAGTCCACTCACAGATTCTCTCCTTCAGTAGCTCTGCTCTTCCTCTGTATCCAAGTATAAGCTGAACTGTGTGCAGCCTCCTGGCCCCAGTGTTACTGTACATGTGTGTGTGTCACATCATCAAACACAGACTGGTCCTGACCGGTCCTCTGTCCCTCTGACCACCGCTCACAGCATCAGCATTGACACCTTTGTGTCAGAGGTCAAGGGTCAGAGTGTACATGTGATACTCGGCCTGTGGAGATGTGCACAGTTGTGTTTGTGTTAGCTGCCTTTAGCCCGCCCTCTCTCCTCCTGTATCTCTCCTCATATACACTTCATTTACTCTGGTACTCACCTTTAGTGTTGTTAATACTAAAGTTCCCATCTCAGTTTCAATACCAATGAAAACGACTTGAAATTCAAAATGAATTCATTTTCCCCATTGATGATTAAACAATAAAATAGTAAATTTAGGAAGAGTTCACATAAGTAAACCTTAGTATTTTCCATATTGTTGCCATGTGGTCTAATTCTAGTTCTGATAGAGAACTACCAAAACAAGCAATTTTATTCAGGAAAATATATTTTTTACCAGTATCATTTTTCAAAGTAGTATCTGGTATAATTTTCCTAAAGTCTCTCCTCCTCTCCTCTCTTCTTCTCACAAATGTAGCTGCTCCTAGGCCACGTCTGTCTGTCAAACCATGTTGCGTCCGCTGCTTGCATGAGTAGGTTTTGTGTTCGTTCCTCCCTATGTCACATTGGCAATTATGGAGAGAATCATAGCTGGCAACTATTTTATCATTTGTAATAATTTTTTTTTGTTTTTGAGGTTCAATTTCAATATTTATATTTTTGTAATATAAAATGTTTTTTTTTTTTTTTTTTCTGTCATTCTTGTTGTGATGCCAGTGGTTAACAAATGCAGGGATTATGATGTCTATTGAAAAACACTATTACAGTTTATTGTTTTACATAATGGAGTTTGATCTGTATAAAGTGCTTACTAATGTTAAATAGGAGAAAGAGTATATAACACTACATTACAGGTGTCATCATAGCTCTTAGAAGATTGAAGTCCGATTCAGTGGTTCAGACTCGGTTGGCTTGGATGTATGCTGTTTTCAGTTACAAAGATAAATGTATGCCATATAATTTATTTATATGAAAATTTATTTTTGTAGTGTACATAGTAGCGGTCAAGGTATTTGACAGAAGTATATTTTTAAAGAGTTTATATGTAATGCTATTCCATAACGTTAAAGGTTAAAGGTTAAAGGTACACACTCTCATTGCTAAGCTCTTGTGGACAACATGGACACCTCCGATCAGTATTAGCCCACTAGCTGTCACTGTGGGTTTGTCAAGGCTAGCCATGAAAGTAGACTATGTACTAGCTCTCTAAATATTAATGTTCAAACACTGATAGAATTCTAACATAAAAATATAACTTATTTGTCTTTTTTGTTCATACCTTTAATAAATGAACTCTTGAAAAGGTATGGATTCGGTTGTTTTCATTTTTCTTGCATTCATTGTCTCACAGTTGGGTTTTAAATATATTTCAAATATTTATTTAGGCATTCAAGTTTCTGCTTTCTTAAAGTGTTCAGAAATTCTCAAAACACACCAAGACTTACTGAAATCTCAAATTTTCAGTTAGTATATCTGGAAAATACCTACATTATAAAGTATATAGTCTGGTATAGTCACAGTCTCAGTCTTGATTAACACATAATTTCTCAGTAAAAATGTGCGAGAATGTAGTTTTTTTAATTGAAATAAGTTTTAACCATGTACCAATAAGCATGTATATTGCTTTGGGATGATTTTCTCTTGTCAAAGAATAGAAAATACACAAAAAGAATACATTTTATGTGCAAATATGACTTTTTTTTCTAAGATCGACGCCACGCCAGGTTACAGGTTAGACTTGTGGAGAGGCAACCCTGTTCACAGTATGAATGTATGCTTTAGGGTATTTTTTGAGAAAATGCAAGAGATAAGTTAAATACCATAAGGTGGAACATAGCAAGACATCCCCACAGATCCAATACAAAAAGTTACATATTGCACCTTTAAACCAGCATTCTAGTAAAGCAGACTATGTACAATACAAAAAGAATACATTTTTATGTGCAAATAAGACATGTTTTCCAGGAGTAATTCCATTTGCATCTACAAGTGGAGTGGGTTTCACACCAAGTACTAAGCAAAACCACATCTGGTGTTTGTGATTGTTTTTGAAGATGCTGGTGACTCGTGTGACACCTGCTTGTCTCTAACGAGATGTTAATGTTTTCCCCATTAAACTTCTCCACAGCGACAAGCAAAGGTTTACGCCACGCCAGGTTACAGGCTAGATTTGTGGAGAGGCGACCCCACTCATGGTATAAATACATGTTTTTAGGGCAGTGTTTCCCAAACCTTTTTTCTGAGGACCCATATTTTAAAAGTCACAAACCTTCACGACCCAAGTCTATAGACATTATTCATAAATCACAAAATAAAGATGTATTTTACCTTTATTGAACATGAATGAGGATATTTTATTGTTGACTGAGTGAACAATTAGTATTACACAAGTTTTAAACGATGAAAAACAGTAACTGAACCAGCAATAAAAGGATCCATAAGTCGCCTATTTGGACATTAAATATAACCCATTTCTCTTTCTTTTCAACATTCAACAAAATAGTTAATAAAATAATTACAAAAAGATTAGAAATTATACAAAACATGTCTTAACATTTCAACATTTCTAATGAGATATGCTGACCTGCGTTTTTTTCTGCGTTTTTGTTATGCGTTCAACTCCGGGGTGCAGGAGGAGAGAGCAACACGCAGATCAGGCGACCCCAAAAAAGTCTCTTGTGACCCACGTGAGGGTTGCGACCCAGTCTTTGAGAACCAATGTTTTAGGGTATTTTTAACAATTGCAAGACATAAGTTAAATGCCGTAAGGTGGAGCATAGCAAAACATCTCTACAGATACAAGCATACCAACACAAAAAGTTACATATTGCACCTTTAAACCAGCATTCTAGTAAAGTTAACTAAGTGCAACCAGATCTAAACCAGGTCTGTAACAGGTCTACATCATGTCAGAGTAGTTCAAACAAGACAGATGATTCAAAACCACATATGTGCCATTGTTTATTAGGAATCATTGTAAACACAGTTGTAGGTAAACAAGACCTTCCAGGCTTCCGTACCCCTCATCCCCCTTCCCCTCTCTCCTGGCTCGTCCCATCTCACATCTGGATCTCACCCCCTTCCAAAAAGGCCCACCCAGCTCCGCCCCCTGCCTCCACTCCCTGGTCTGCCTGATTTTGATTGACAGCTTTATAGACTGCAAGGAAATTGGTTGTAGTTACAATACAGCCAGTCTGTTCGGAGTAATGAAAAGGGGCATGTGGTCTACAGCGTGCGTCCTGGGACAGAGAGAGGGTTATGGAGGGAGACGAGACAGAGCCGAGAACTGCATGGGTGGCACGCATTTGTTTTGCCTGGAATGTTTCACAGTACGGCATTAAACATGGGCAATTCCAGGCAAAGCAATAAAATATCCCTGGGTACAAGCAGGTGGCAGGCCAGGAAAAGTCTTATAATGCTGCTTTAAGGTTAGATTTCTGAAGGCCTTTTTGTTTTTCCATGTTCCGTATTTTAACTGTGTGAAACTTTGTGAAACAAGAATAATGCACTGTACTTGTATGACCTAAAAGCTAATCATAAATCCATATTTTAAAGGTGCACTAATGAAGTGTGCGCTACCTGTTTGTCTCCACAGAAATGTTATTGCTTTGTCTAGAATGTTCTGCAGTGTAGATTACAGCACTATGCTACATTACAATTCAGATCTGTGGAGAGAAGGAATTATTTTTTGACCAAAAGAAAAACTTGTAATGAAAAAATGATATGTTTAATGTCATACCATGGAACATTTCAGGTAAAGCAACATCTCCATGGAGACAAGTAGTTAGTGGGCCCTCCACCAATGCACCTTTGAACAAAAATTTTAAATCTGTCCCACTACAGCAGACATGTCAATCTCAGGCCCAGGGGCCAAATTTGGCCTGCAATATAATTATATTTGGCCCGCGAGATCATATCAAATATGTATTAGAGCTGCCCGCCGGCTACAGAGACATTATTTATTTAAAATGTTGTTATTATTTTATATTATGCTTGTTCTGCATTCAGTGTTTAAGCAAAACTATTATTAAACATTTATTTTAATAAGAAAAAGGTTAACATTACATATCTCAAAAGAAGAGAAAACATGCAGATGTTGTTGAAATTTTTCAACAAATATTTAGTTTAGCCTGTGATTTAGTCCCAGTTTTTAATTTTGGCCCTCTGTAAATTTGAGTTTGACACCCTTGCACTACAGGATGGTGAGTGAGTCTGGATTGATGCTTTGCGTCTGCACAGTTCTCTAAAGACCCACATGTCTGGTGCAGGAAGTCAGAGGGGAGAGGTACATCCTCACAGTGACAGGAGTTGATGGTGGGCGTGGGGAATGTTCTCTGTCCTCATAGACTGTATAAAGAAGTGGACTAAGGGACTAAGGGTGTGACAACATCCATAACGTTCAGCTCCAGACAAATTAAGCTCACTGAGGCCGGCAGTTATAGGAACGAATATGAATTTGTTCCCTAGAGAAGTTATATAGTGCACCTTTAAACCAGCATTTTAGGTGGTTTAAGTTTTTTGGTCGAAACGTTGAAGTTTGAAGTCTTGGCCTTTCGTTCACATGGAGCCGGCATTTCGGGTTGGCGAAAACTGTGTTTTTTGAAAACGTGTTTCAGAGCAGAGAAATTTGAGAACGCCAGCGTTGCGTTGTCGTGTGGACAAGCAAATCTCAGCTTTTGGAAAATGATGACGTCACGATCCTGTCATTGTGCTTGTTGCAGAAGAGGAAGGACTTTATGTTCATGAGCTCTTTATAGTATTATGTTTAGTATTATGTGCCCAGTGGCTCTGGCTGTATCCTGTTTACAGCCCCACATACAGGTGTGGCATATGTATTACATCATTTTCACTCAGTGCATCATTGTCGTGTGAACATGAATATTTATTGTGGCCATACCAGCTTGTCAAAGCCTGATCCCATCAGATCTCAGAAACGAAGCAAGGCCGGGCCTGGTTAGTACTTGGATGGAGGACAACTGGGAAAATCAGGTGCCACAGGGGGGTGGCAGTCGTAACAAAAAAAACTGTTGTTGTGTCCTTAGGCAAGACACTTCACCCACATTGCCTAGTATGAAAGTGCTGTGTGTGTGAGTGATGGTGGTGGTCAGAGGGGCTGATGGCACTGATTGGCAAGGCAGCCGCGCTTCTGTCAGTCTGCCCCAGGGCAGCTGTTGCTACAATAGTAGCTTACCACCACCGGGTGTGGAGAGAAAGAATAATGAATCTATAATGATCTGTAAAGTGTCTTTGTGACATATGCCTGTGAAAAGCACTATATAAATAAATAAAGACTTACTTATTGATCGGACACGTGTGTGGCCGCGAATTCTTTTCAAATCCAGGAGCCTTGTCGTGTGGGTGTAGCCTTAGTCTAATGTGTCTTGTGGTTTCATTGATTGATTTTACTGCTCTGTACTTTTGCATGTTATTGTATATTTTCTCTATATTACATTTTTATTACTCCTATTGTGAAGTAGTTTGTGTACTTAGTCTGTGGAAATGGCCATATAAAAAAATCTTCCAGTATCTTTATGAAAGATCCCAGCTGGCTAACAAAAGCGTAGTTTGAACATTTTTAAGATGCTAATGTGAAAGTAAATGATTCTGATGAGTGAATTCAAATACCTTCTTCACCAAATACCGTCTGTATAAACAAAATACGAAAAAATATGCACAAAATAAATTACTGCTTTTGGCTGTAAAATGCTTTCAGTTATCGCACGTTTGGTTGTGTTTACATTCTCAACACAACCTTGCGCACAAGATCTAAAATGACAAAGACCAAACTGATTTCCTGATTTCCTCCCATTGTAATTAAACATCATAATCCACATCATATGAGCGAAGCACAGAGGAGTACAGGAGCCTGAGTGCTTTCCAAGGCTCTGCTCAGCGTCAGGACTCAAGTCTATTTGTCTAAATCTGCTCTGTATCAACAACCCGCGCGATGCTTCGGACTCATTTATTTTCTGAGAGAATGTGTAAATCCGGCCTCGCGTTTGGCAGTGCTGCGGAGGTGTTCGGGTATTTTTCACAGTGTGGGGACTCAAATCTGTGCACACAATTGCATTATGAAGGCTTATTTACCTGGCCAGTCAGAACAACAACATCTGAAAAATATGCATCTTTACTGTGAGCGAGCTTGCACCTCCACAAACCTGACACTTACTGACTCAAGGCCTCCACACAGCACAGAATTTTTTGGTCTTTTTCAATTTCAATTTTTAAACGTGCGATAAAAAGTGCACACCACAGACACAAGGAG